AGATACTAATTGATACTAAAACTAGTATTGAAACTAGATACTCATTTGAGCAAGTATCAATTCTACAAAAGTCAAATTCACAGGACAGAACTAAACCTTTCCTGAATAGCTATAGAAAGGTCTTAAGCTGTATCAGAACAAGACCACATAGATAGGTATACTGTGATGGAACATACCTGGACGACTGAGGGATTACTTAACACCACATAGTTATATAAAAGAAATTACTGTCATTTAATAAGAGAGAAAGAAAACTTGCCTTGAAAAATCTGTATTGATAGACAGAATGATCTGAGGCACTGTGAGCAGGTACATAAAAGTCTTTTATTACAAAAGGAGACACTTATGAGTTTTGACCAAAAAAATCTAATAAAGGGCTTTTATGTACCTGGTCATTGTGTCTCAGATCCTTCTGCCTATCAGTATAACATTTTCAAGGCATGTTTTGGCTTTATCTTAGTAAATGTTCACGTCCCCATAGAGCACCTGACATTTTTACAGTTTTGAACACCCAGTGAAGCATTCACATCCTTACTTGCTTTTTAATCAGTATAAAGTAGTATAAAGTCTTGATTCCTTAGTATCAAAATCAAGTTTAAAATGTTGCGACACTACAGGTTAATAGAACTGGTATAGCACACAATGAAGTATGTTGTCATCATTCTTATCATAATAAAATGCATAAATATTGGTATTGTACAGAAACCTAGTTGAAATATTAGCATTATTAGTATACTAAACTTCAATCTGAAGAAATGGGCAGTGCTACTACAACACAGAGGAACATGGTAGAGGAGCTATTGCTAACCACAAAGTCAATAAAGAGCTGCTGGAAATTACCCAGCACTTGACAGCGAGTGACAGATTTGAACAGACCTGTCCCCAGCGACCCCAATGTAGTCCCCACACAAATAAAGGCCCCAATAACAAACATGTACTAAGCTGTTAATCAGATTTTAATGAACTAACTGTCATCTCTGGCTGTTAAGCGGATTTCAGGATATTGAGGAGAGTGCTACAGCAAAATACGAGCGAATTACCTGTGTGCACGGAGGTGGCTGGCAGCCCTGGGTTTGTTAAATTGAAGAGAGAGGGGATCAGTCTGTGTCATGTTGGAGCTAAATGGCTTAATTACATAACTGTTTGGGGTGTTTGAGGAGGGTTGCACATAAGGGGGGGCTCAGGAAATAATTTTTCTTTCTTTTAGCTACTTGATTTTTGTCATAGCTTATTCACAAACTGGCATAGGTAAAACAGAAAGAATTGTTAGGATAATACAACAGTAAACGCCAATTTACGGGGATGGATTCCTTTTCTTTTTTTGCTTGTGAAAGTGATTGATTGAGGGATGAGTTAACTTTGTGTAGCTGTGGTGTGGTGGAGGAAGGTTTGGTGTTGATATTGTGGAGGTTGACTTACCTTAGTTACAACACAAATGATTGAAAACAGTCTGTTGCCTGGGATTCAGAATACACGCTTCTTCAATACTTTACGTTGAGTCTGTGAGTCTGGTCAGTGAGTCTGGTCAGTGAGTATAGTTGGCATTGATTGACAGGTGGAACGGCCAATTAAGGACACACATGGTCCACCATTATCCAAACAAATATGGTTGCTTTCAAGGAAAAGGAAAAAATATCACAGGGTACTGAAAAACATTGTGAATTTCTGCAGAATCATTGAGTGAAGCACTAAACTTTGTTCATCTGAGGTGAGAGAAATTAATTTAGCTCTAAATAACAGTAGATTAATGAGCTCATTTGTGTCACTGAAATAAACTAATCTGGCTTCATAAAACTGTTTGAATCTGGCCTGAGACGTGACTGACAATGATATGTAAAAAAGTTACTGAGGAATATCAGTCTGGACTTGCTAGTTGTAAAGCTGTAGTTCATTGTAAATTAACTATAGTTTAAAATCAAGGTGGAGAGCAAATCTGAATGGTTCAGTAGTCAAAGTGCAGATTATTTGGCCTGGTTTATGGTGTAAAATAATGGATTTGTTATTTTCCACCTTCAAAGCGCTTTTACATTAAGGAACCACTCATCCATTCACGCACGTCTTGATGCACCAGTGTACGTTAACAGTCTTAAATGTCTTGTCCAAGGACATAATGGCAGTATTTATTTGTGGGAGCTGGAATCAAACCAATGCTCTTTATGTCGAGAGCAAAATTCGCCAACCTTGGATCAGTGGACAAACACCCTACCAACTGTTGCCCCGTGGCTACTGTCACCCAAACTAATTAACAAATGACAGTGTAAACTAGATTATCATATAAGCCCTTTTGGGTTTTTTGCCTCTTCCGGCACCTACTTTTTATCTAATGTGTTTTGTTGTTTTTTTATTGTTATGTTATACGTGCAAAATAAATAAATAAAAATAAAATATGTTGTCAGCATTAAAGCTGCAGAGAGTGAAACAGGCTGCAAATGACTTCAATGAAATAATAATTATTTAGATTTATTACAGGGCTTAAGAGAAGTATATTGATCTCCTCCCCAGTCATAGATTCACATACACCTCAACATAACCTTTGGCAACATTTACAATTTGTCATTGGAGTAAACAGTGCAAAACAGAATGTCCTGGATAAAGACTTATTAGAGCTACATTATTGGCTTTGATTTTCCCTTTATCTTCTAATGACACTCGGTGGAGCTGTTACAAAGCCCTGACCTTATCTCCGGATGCACTCAGAGAAAACCTTCATACATCAAGTGTTGGGAAAGAAAATGATTTGTTGTCCTTGATTCTCAATGCAGTCCTCATCAGCAACTCCATCTGCTAGGGTTATGTTTTGTTAGTTTGGAGCATAGACTGTTAAACAAGTTAATTAACATTCAGCTTTAGTCAGATGAAGCTCACAATGCTAGCTGTTGCAGGGGCAAATTTGAAGCTCCATATTAGGATAAGGAATTTATTAATAGTGTAATCAAAACACCAGCGGGTTAATACGAGCATTTTAAGACCAAAATGACAAGGCTCATAGCAGCAGTTACAGAGAGAGGGTGACAGATAATCAGTTTAATGTCAACTGGAATTGATGGAGCACTTCCTATCTCGAATGTGGCGGCGAGTGGGTTAGCTATGTCCATTTATATTTACAGTCTATGTTCAGACTTGTTGTAGTTGTTGTTTTTATAAAAGAAGTTTTTCTATTTTTATGAGAAAAATGTTAAAATCTGAATCTGAACGAGCAGTATTGCCATTGTCAAAACAACAAAATAGAAGTGTGGAAGTGTGTATGGAGAAAACATAAAACAACACAGTAATAAAATATACTTTCAGCAATAGGCAAATATATTTTAAATGAGATTTTATGGGCTAAAGATTTATAGGAACAAGTATCATAGGTGGTCCGAATTTGAAGCTCTTCCATGTGGAGACCATATATGGAATACACTACAGTTATGTTCCATTGACATGTTTTAAGATTGGGAAGATATATCTATTATTCCAACAGTCCAACTTGTTGAGATGCGCCTAATCCATGTTTGCATCTTTGCTCATATCTAATTACAGATAAAGGTGTGCAGAGATAACTGGTGCTTCCGTAAGGGTTTTGAGACTGGAGAGCTCTCGTTCTCTTTGAAATGAGCCACTTTGGGCGTCCTGACTCATCCGCTGCTACGGCAACAACAGATAATTCCTCCTCTGGCTCCTGTACGCACATTATCCTGTGCTGTGGAAAAAAAGGATTTCAGTATTAGTAGCTATTCTCTATCTGACAATCAATGATACTGTATTGATGCAAGCCTGTTAACACCTTACACACACAAAAACTGCAATTTGACCTTTTTAAGATACTACCATCTTCATAAAATATTCTGTTTAAACCATGACAGTTATTTGTATTCCAGTCCAATCCAACTTTATTTGTATTTGTATTATTGCATTGACATTGAAGAGGTTGCAAACAAAATTTTAGAGATATCTAAACCAAAGCACAGCTATAATAAAATACAATGAGATTTATTGAATTCAAAGTCATTACAAAATTAGGTTGGAGTTCATTTTCTCCAAGAGGCACAGATCGTAATTCTCTGTACTCTGGCTGGAACTTTTCAAAGACAAAAAATAAACAAATTTATTTATTTATTTGGGTTTTGGATATTTTCAAAGAGATTTTTCTACCTCACAGAGATAAATTTATATCATACCACCACACCACATCTAAATTAGTTCTGAACTGGGACTAAACCCAAGACTAAACCAGGACAAGAAGAGAGCCAAATCGAGGCTACATTAGGACTCACATTAGGGACAAACATAGACTGTATAAAGAAGTGGATTAAGAGAGTGTGGCATCACATCATGAGGCTCACAAGGCTAGCAGTTATATGGGCAAATTTGGAGCCAGGACCATATTAGAGATAAGAATTTATTTACATCCAAAATAGTGAAATAAAAAACACCAGGATTATGTAGAGCAACCAAAATGATAAGTGTAACTGCAGCAGTTACACAGAGAGGGGTAAAACTTTGCCATGTTAAGCCAATTGAAAATTGGAGTCGAAGGAGCTGGAAACGCCCCACTTCGTTTTTGAATTAGCTATGTCCATTTATATGTACATACAGTCTATGGGCCCAAACCACCACCTAACAAGGGCACGTGTGAACGCAAACTTTGACAAAGACAAATTACTGAGTATGAAATTGAACTGAATTGAGGACTGGAAATTTTGAATACCACATACACTACCAATCAAAAGTTTGTACACACCATCTTTATATCTTTACTACTTTGACATTCTGTAAACATGCATACATACATCAAATATATGAAGTAAGATATGAGGGGTTTTTTGTGGGGTTTTTTTTTTTTTTTTTCATTCCATACATGTTACATATATTTCTTATCTTGTGTGTGTACATCAAATGCAGAAAGTAGTAAATATATAGAAAAAACACTGAATGAGCTGGTGTGTTCAAACTTTTGACTGGCAGTGTATATAATGAAAACCAAATAATTCTGTGCACTGTTTTTCTTTTTTTTATAGATACACCAAAATGAAAACTGCCACTAACATCTACATCTTTAACCTGGCTCTGGCCGACGCCTTGGTCACCAGCACGTTGCCGTTCCAGAGTGTGAACTATCTGATGGGCACCTGGCCGTTCGGGGACATCCTGTGTAAAATGGTCATGTCCATCGACTACTACAACATGTTTACGTCTATCTTCACCCTGACCACCATGAGCATTGACCGTTACGTGGCCGTGTGTCACCCAGTTAAAGCCCTGGACTTCAGGACCCCTCGCAATGCCAAGATCGTCAACATCTGCAACTGGATTCTGTCCTCTGCCATTGGTTTGCCTGTGATGTTCAAAGCCAGGACTAAGTTCATCCCAAACACACGTAAGTTCATAAAACCATTTAATCTTCCTCGAAATTAATAGCACTTTATTGCTCATATTGCTAATGAGGGTGGAAGAAATTAAAGTTTATATTTTTGCAGGTTTAACTGGATGAAGATTACTTTGTGTTTTTATTACTGAAGCTATTATTTTACACTGAATCTTGGCTTGAGATGAAGCATTTTAATATCAAATCAAGTATGAATATTCACTGAATATGAATACATGTTTTGCATTGGATTTTAATTACTGCCAAGCCTGAACCCGCATGCTTTTATTAATTAATTATTGCATTTATATAACAGCTGTCAAGACACTACTTTACAGTTCATTGTTCACTCCACACTCAGTGGTGGTAAGCTACTATGGTAGCTACAGTTGCCTTGAGGCAGATTGACAGAAGCGAGGCTGCCAATCTGCTCCATCAACCCTTCCAACCACCACCAACACTCACGCGCACTTCACTTTCCTACCAGGCAATGTAGGTGAAGTGTCCTGCCTAAGGACTCATTGTTTTTGCCACTGGCACCCCACTGTGACACCTGGAATTGCCAGCGGTCTCCCATCCAAGTACTACCATAGACCGTATATAAGAATGGACACAGCTAACGCGTAGCCGCCACGGTCCAAATAGGAAGTGTGTCAGGCGGCTCTTCCAGCTCCTTCTGACCCTGGCTCCAGTTGACTTACATTGGGATCTGGGATGGGGTCACCTCTCTGTAACTGCTGCAGTGAGCCTCGATCTTGCTCCACATGATCTTGAATTTTTCATTTTGCTATTTTGTCTCTAAATCAAGATATGAACATAAATAACTGACCAATCAGATGCCTTAATTCCCCGAGGTCACTCCTGCTGGCATTACCAACAGGTTTAATTGACAGCTAGTGCATTTGGTTGCAAATTAAGCCCTCTTCCTGCTTTCCGGTGAGAAGGGCGAGCACATTTAACAACCTCAGCCATGATGGTGGTGTATATATGACAGTGGGATTTCCAAATATGGACCTGGCTTCAGATTTGTTCCTGTAACTGCTAGCATCGGGAGCTTCATTTGAGTGGATCTGAACGCTATAGGTGACGACACACTCACTTAGTCAACTTCTTTCTACAGTCTATGAGTACTACCCAGGCCCGGCCTTGTTGAGCTTCTGAGATCTGACGAGATCAGGCTTTGACAAGCTGGTATAGCCACAAACTTTTACAAACTTTAGAAAGATTTTACACAGATTGGATCTGGAGCTGTATCATGTCTCCATTAGACATCCCCCATAAACAGCAGTGTAGTTATAGTGCAGTTGTCCTTTCACTGACTGAAGCTAATGCTGCACTTAGTTTGCAGTTTTTAAACAGAACTTTATTTTGTACTTGTACAAAATGCTAAAAAGTGCGTGTATTGACCATCAGTCTATCTTTAATTTGTGGTAATGCAGTAATCAAATGTTCCGGTAAAATGACATAATGTGGCTCATTAGGGACATGGCATCGGATGTTTAAGAACATACTGCGTGTATGTTCTGCTGTTGAAGTAAAACTGCATTTTGAATGGCTGCAGTTAGCAGCTCTATTGTGCCTCATTACATGTAAAGTTATAAATGTTTTTAAGCTTTTTTTTCGCAAGAAACCACACAATAAGCAAAATGGTTACTGAAAAGTGCTGATTAAAACCCTCCAAATGTGCTCAATATGGTTATAGTAGTTATTTGTAAGAAAATTAAAACAAAGCAATACTATAAAGCAGCAGAATTGTTGACATCTCCTGTGAGGTGAATGACTGGTCCCCTGCTGTCGTGCCCTCATAGCGCTCTCCCTTTGTAATTTCACTCTGTAAATGTTTCATAAAAGAGCCTTGTGCATGGCTGGGGCCTAATACATCTGTCTGTGTGTGGATGCCAGCCGCGTTGCCACATCGCTTCAAGAGGGTTTTAATTGCAGCAGTTATAGACAGAAAACTGGCAGTGAAATTACTGAGGCATGGTTTTTAGTTTCTCCGAGGAGGAGCTACGGGAGATTACAGATCAGAATCACTGCAGAGGAGCTCGGAGGGAGGCGCAAGGGAGAATGTTTCAGAAAATACTTATCTTCTCAGTATGATTTGAATAATGGCCTCATGAGTAAAGATGGAAACTTTTGAAACTGTGTAGCATTACAAAGAGTGGTCAATGTATGGATTGGAACATTTGTTGACTCACATTGTTAAGAAGTTGTTTGTGGAAATGATACAGCCTCCATCTGAGAATGGCTTTTGACTCTGACAAAACACATAATGATGATGTTTATAATGCATGTAATTTTTTAGGCCAGCGCCTTTCAAGACACCCAAACCACTTTACACTGTATTATTCACTCCACACTGGTCATGGCTATAGCGGCCACAGCTGCTGTGGGCAAGACTGACTGAAGCTGATCTGTTTCATTAGCTCTTTTGACCATGACCATTCACTCAAACTCACATCACATTCATAGGCATAGGAGAAGTGTCTTGCCAAATGACACAATCACTAGAGCTATCCCACTGTGGCAGATGGTATTCATAGTACTGCTCAGTGCCTGAAATCAGATGAGATTTGACATTCTCAATCTGCCCACAATTATAGAAAAACAATAATAATTCACAGTCTGTAAATGTAGACACTAAATGTAAAAAAAACTAAAACAAAAAAAAAAAAAAAAAAAAAAAAAAAACAGCCCAGAGTGCTTGTTATTCCAATAGTGTTTAAACAAGTTTACTGTATAATATAAGCTAATGACTGTATGTCTTCCAATAGCCAAGAACAGTGTGGACTGTGCTCTGGAGTTCCCACACCCCTCCTGGTACTGGGAGACCCTGATGAAGATCTGTGTGTTCATCTTCGCCTTCATCATGCCAGTCCTCATCATCACTGTGTGCTACGGCCTCATGATCCTGCGCCTGAAGAGCGTGCGCATGCTGTCCGGGTCTCAAGTGAGCCAAAAGTCTTTCTCCACAACTGACACCAGCTGCATAAAGAATGAGAAGAACGGAATTAGCATAACGAGGATTTCAAAATGTCATTCAGCTTTGGGTCCTATATTTTCCACTGAATAATGAAAAACAAAACACAGAGAGAGAGGCTCAAAGGGAAAAGCAATTAAGGGAATACAATTTGAGCCCAGGGTGAAGCGTCTGTACACTGTGATTCATTACAACAGGTGATAGAAAGCTTGCCCTTTGTTCGGCTTAAGGCTGTGTTTCAATTCAATTAGGCCATTTTGAATGACAGAAAAGACATATGAATGGTTGTTTCCCTTAGGGTTGTTTAGGCCATATTATGCATACATCTTTATAGTCTTCCTCTTACTTACACATTAGCTCTATTTTCTTACATACACAACCAGTTAAAAGGACTTGGACTTACCCTGTTTTGTTTTCTATGTTTACTACTTTCTACATTTGATATACATACAGAAGAGAAGATATCAAATACATGAATAAAGATATATGCAATAAGGTGGCAAAGAAAAAAGTTAAACATATTAAATATTGTATAGCCAAATCCTTTTTGCTTTGCCATTTCTCATTATGCAAATTTTAGATGAGATTTCAAATTCTTCGTATCCATCCCCATTTTGAACATCTTGAGTGTTACCTCCTACACACACACACACACACACACACACACACACACACGCACACACGCGCGCACACACACACACCCCCACACACGTACACACACACCACTGTCTTGCATTTCTATGTGGACAGTTTCCTCCCATTTTCATTTTGTGGTTGAAATATTTTGTCTTCCTTTCAGGAAAAGGACAGGAACTTGCGTCGGATCACCCGCATGGTCCTGGTGGTGGTGGCGGTCTTCATTGTGTGCTGGACTCCCATTCACATCTTCGTCATCATCACAGCTCTAGTGACCATCCCCAACTCAACACTGCAGTCTATTACCTGGCATTTCTGCATCGCCTTGGGATACACAAACAGGTAACACAGTAGTTCATGGAGTTCATCAATAAAGACCTGACAACAGCAGACGTGCTCAACTCCTTAAAGGGCCCATATTACACTATTTTCTTATACATGTTATTATGTTGTTTCCTCATCAAAAATATACCTGGAATTGTGTTTTGTTTCATTCACACCTACACATGTTTAACACACAAACCCTGTATGCTTAGACTGAGTTTTTCTCTCAAACGGAAAACACTGTGCTCCAGTCTGTTTTTAAAATCCATAAACCTTCACTATAACCGAAATAGAATTGCCAGTCTTTACTGCAAAAAGGTAAAAGGTAGACGCTAATTTGAAAACTTCCGCTTGCTGACATCACAACAGGGAACAGAGCATTTTCGGCTTTGGAGATGTAGACAAAGGGTCACTCAAAGATATGTGAATGAAATAAAACACAACTCCGGGTATGTTTTTGTGTATGTAACAACAAATGTCCCAGCTTCAAACTCAACATACCTGAGGAGAAAATGATGACTTGTTACTTTCCACCCACTCTAATCAATACAGCAATTCATTAAGTAAGAACCAGTCAATTGCTTCAGTTGCCCTTCACCTGTCAGTCATAGCATGTTGTCGTATACAAGTATGAAGAAATCTTCTGGTTTTTGTAGTATCTTCTTTGTATTCCTTATTTATAACTTGCTTGCCTTGATAATAGTTTTCAGGTGTTTATGTTGAAAATGTATTCCTTTTTTGCTTGGAGTGCGCACATCTTCACCTGCAGATAACAGTGCACTGGGCATAAAAGGGATTTAGTTGTCAAGGTGCTTTGTTGCAGCTTTAGCTAAACAACAGCGATGGCATATTCTTTCAGTAAATTCTTTGATTTAGTTTCACAGACAGTATACCTGCTTACTGTTCCTTTTTGAAAAGAGTTGTAATGAACCGGAAGGCAGCAATTAAAACAGCCTTGTGAAAATATTTACACAACACAAACACAGACATTTGTTTTACGTTTTGTCCTTGCCTTTGCCACCCACAGCAGTCTGAACCCAGTGCTTTATGGATACTTGGATGAGAACTTCAAGAGGTGTTTCAGAGAGTTTTGCACCCCCAGCCCGTCAGTGCTGGAGATGCAGAACTCATCCAGAACCGGAGCCAACAGCCGCAAGATTCCCCAGCGTGAGCACAACACCGGCAACACCGGGGAGAGATCCAACCAACAGGTAGGGCATCTGTCATAAAGCAGGTTCATTTCATATTAAAGTAATACCATCACATTCACCAGGGTTCAAGTGCACCTGCTGTGCCAGTCCCAGACCTGGGTAAAAAGTTAGAGGGCATCTGATTTAGAAAGTCAATGTCAAATTTGCTCATTAAATTGGATTATCAGGCATTGAGGATTATCATGTGTCAAAATATAATCAAAATATAATACAGCTTAACAATCAATGCGAAATAAGGTACATAGAAAAAATTGTGATAAAAATTAAAATAAAATAGATATCTCAGAAATAAGAAAGCACAAATTTACTATGTTCGAAATATGTATTTGGGCTACTGCTTTAAGAATTGTCTATGAAGTAGAAATATTAACACTTTTACTTTTGTTTATGGCCAAGCAAATCTCAGTCTTGGTCTTTTTGTGATCAAGGTAGTTCATAGTTTGTTTAATACAGTACTTATAAACCTCTTAGCTATAACAACAGCATTTGACACTGACACATCCATCCAGAATGAGAAAAGGAGCAATGTAATTATTCAGTAAGATCTATGCTCGTCTTCTCTTCCTCCCAACAGGTATGACTAGCCTTGGAGGGGTCGTCAGTGGACACACGCTGCTGCAGTGGTGCTGCTACGACCCCCGATGACCTTCACTCTGAGATCACGCAGGTCACCACAGGGCTTTGAACACAGCACGAGGTCACATGATCCGCTGGCCCATCCGCCTAACAAATTACTACTTGGCTGAGAGAAGACAAGGTTTTTACCCTGAGAGCAAAGTGTACAGGAACAATGTGTATCAAACAAACAAGCAGCATGGGTAGACCACAAATGTATGCACTGTTTCCCCTAATATTGGGATGAGTATTTAAAATGCAACAGGCAGGTTCCACACGTACTCCAGTAGTGGATCATCTTGAACTAATAAAATCCGCCCCCACAGCCGCCCTTGAGTGGATCCTTGATGGAGCCTCTTTCGGCTCGCTCAGCCCTTGACTTAATTCCCATTCTTGTACAAAGAGAAGTCTATTGATTAAGTCATGTTTTCAAAGCACATCTTGTTTTATTCCTCTTATGAATGCGCAAGTGTACGTGCTGTAAAATCTGAGGACTTAAAAAAATGTGTTATATATTTGTTATTTAGAGAGTTTTTAGTTTGAGTTCATCAAGAGTGTCATAGTTCCTGGGAATAGAAAATATTTAGTCATTTCATTTTTCTCTTACACTCTTTGTCTTTTCTATCTATCAAAAGAACATTTGTACAAATCAGCCTTAACATTTTGACCGTCTGCCTAACACACGACTTTTACCTTCAAAAAAGTACATTTACTAGATGATTTAAAGGTGCACTGTGTAAATAAATGTAAGGTAGAACAGCTTAATGCCAGACTGTCGAAAATTCCAGGCAGACCAGTTATATATCCATAGAAAAAAGCAGGTGATGGACCCACAAACAAAAAGTTACAAAAGTACACATTTAAGCAAATCTGTCAAAAGGACTCTAACTCATATTTTGGCTTTTAAACATATTATTTGAAGATCCAAGACAAAATATAACAGCCTGTGGTACAATACAATCACCTTTTAACACAAGCTTAATACCCGTGTCTATCTGTGCCACTCTCAGATTTCACTGTCTCTGTGGGACTCTGCCGCATTTTTCTACCGTTCATAATGTCTTTTATTGAAGCTGAACAGCAGTCTTGTGAGCTTATTTCACTAGTTCTTGTCCTTTTGTTGACAAATAGACATGTTAAACATGTTATAAAGTGCTATGCTAGCAGTTTTAGTCAAATGTTTAGCTCCCTGCCACATCTGTAATTAGCACCCACACAGTCTCCTGGGTGCTCCTCATGCATACAGGCTTATATCAGTGTTCTGTTTTCTCTGAGCGCATGTAAAGGTCAAATGCTGAATACAGAGGCTCATAACTGGGAAACTCAAGCACATATATCGCACTCAGTATTTACTATTCATCAGTTACTTCGACCACTGCAGGCTGGAGCCCTTAGATTTACCCTTACACAAACATTATTGATCCACTGGGCAAATGATGTGGACACAGCAGCTCACACATCACAATATATTATAATAACAAAGATCAAGAAGATAAATGGAAATAATACATTCAAAATAAGTAGCAAAAATAGCTGCAGTCAAATAAGGCATGATTATAAACATGTATATGTACAAGTAAAAATAAAGAAACGTGTATAAGTAAAAACATAGAAATATAGTAATACAAAATATATTTGGACCATATACAAGAGGTGGGTAAGGAGAAACTGTGCAAAGATGAAATGGTGATTGAAATGATATAGGGTTATCTGTTATATAAGGGTGAGTTGTTGTACAGTTGTAAGTATGGTATGAATGCAATCCTATATCTCTCACTGTTTGAGCGAAGATGTAGGAGCCTGTTGGAGAATTTTCTGTCCTTCAATAGTCAACGAATGGTTGTTCCCCTTTGGCATGTATAGGGCCATATCATGCATAAATCTAACCCATCAAGAGCTGTAGTTCTGGCTTCTAAACCAACTGTATTTTTAATTTCACCATCAGTGGTAATAATGTTCTGTTAGCTTTATTTGAATTCACAGATCACTGACAACACACAGTGTGGTCCTATATAAAAAAATAAGTGATCATTTAAAATAAACGTAAATAAATGTTGCTCGCTTTAATGTCCTTCGGATGTCGCTTTCAGCCTCGTGTACATAATTTTATGCTGTTCTTCTAAAAGGGCATAGATCTGTCACTGTAGATTCTGCTAACAAACAGATACATGAATGTATATGAGGGGTTTACACAGTCTCCAGCAAAAAGGACTCTTCAGACTGTTGGGCATATACTAGCTCCATACATCAGGGCCATTACAATGGTTCAAATGGACTGTCATCTCTGCTTCAGCCACTGCAGCAGGTGACCCCAGAAGCCACTTTGTATGTAATGTCACCATCATGTGAGTAACCTTCACTATAGTGCTTACATGATATAAGTCTAGTTACTGTTCCATTGGCCTTCGCTGTAACTTCATTGGATATTGTATTTTATAAAAGAGCTGTATAAATGAACCATGACTGTATTTAAAATATGTACATTACCACTGTTGATTTTCACTTACCGCTGATAAAGTCATTGCTTTTAGAGTAAGCCTGCAATGATTGTGCTTCTATACCTTTGTTAAATGGCCTTGTTGAGATCTATAACATATGTAATAGAGTAAATGTGGAAATAAATAAACCTAACGGTATTGAAACTAAAATTAGATGACTTGTTCTTTATATAATATAGTGCATGTGGTCCCTGTGGGATGTGCTTTCCAGAAGCAAAAGGACCTTTTCACCCTGCATACATGAGCACTGTAAAGAATTCATTCATTTGAAGAGGAATCATGTTGGGTGCAGTGAATGATATATTTCTTGATGTCTTATGTGGGTGTGTGAAAGTGCACCCAATGTAACACAGTGTTAATAAAATCAATTAAGCAATATGATCAATGACCAGACCAAGCTCAGTTCACACATATGCTTCATTATGACTTAATATTCTATTGGAGAGACCTTATTTTATTGCTTTGCCTATAGAAAGTTCCACAGTGTAACATTAAAATGATCCAGCTTAATGGTGACCATTAATCTCTGTGGAGAGGAGACCTTACTTACACTCACAGACCACCAACTTGAAAAGTTATAGTGCACCTTTAACCATGTTGATATTTCCTAATCAATATGTTTTGTTTATTTACCAGTGTTTGGAAAGTGCTAAATATTTTAACTGTGTCTTTTTGAGAGCTCCAAAAAGACTGGTCTCCCCACTCCACTTCATTCTTGACTTTAAACTTTAAAATGCTCTTGTCTATTTTTGTCTCTCTTCTCACACTCTTCTATCCAACATTTCATTTCACCAGTTTCACTTATTTATGATCCAAGAAACTGCCACATCAAATATTCTGAGAAACCAATTCTACAAAAAAAAACATTTTCTGTCCAAATTTAAGATCTGATGTTTTTCTATGCTGTTTTTCGATTAAGTTAACTGCCTGACACAATTGTTCCTGCTATAATACACACATTTACCAGACTATAGGCTTTATGGACCTTCTGTATGACTTTATTGAGGGCTTAGCACATTTTCTAAAAGGTAAAGTTTATGTTGGCTTATGGTGCTTTGGCCTCTTGTGCTCCATTACGATGGTAACTGTGTGTGAAATTACCTACTTAGTTTGATAACTAGCTTCTGCAGCAGAGTAATATAGAAACACGGGTATACTGTAGTGTTATAGTGATAATGTACAGAATTGCATTGCTGGGGGTGACTGCAGTGCCAACTCCATGTCTGATAAAACTAACCATGAACTATCAGTAAAGTATTTATGAAATCTTTTGTAGACCCTCTGTGGACATCATTCACATCCACCCATCGTTATGAGAAAGAGCCTCCAGTCTATAAACCTCCTGGAGTTATAATTTACTGCCAAACAAGTGAGAGAGACTCTGCTAGATTGCAATAAAATTATATTATCAGGACATTTACAGAACTCCAGGCCAGTCAACAGCGTGCATTAACATATTAGTTTTCCGAAGGGAGAAGTTACTTTCAAATCTCCATTAGTTAGGACAGGACATCGGAAAGTCTCACTTTTGAACCATGTGCCTCCTGTCACAGCAGATTTATCCAAAACCAGTGATTTAAAAAAGAAAGGGGGTAATATATTATCATTTGTTTAGCTAAAATACAGAAAAATATGCTTGAAAATGGCCATAAAACAGAAAAATACACTGACTGAAGTCCATCAGATTCTAACTGATGCAAGTGAGTTGAGAGATTATGTTGCATGCCCTTTTCACTATTTTATTTATAGCAACCATCCCAACCCAGTGTGTTCCAGTTTTTAAATTTGAAAACCTAGTCCCCCTATCTTTGTAGGTTGATGGTGAAGCTGCAATAGTCATAATAGTAGCTGTAGAAGCACTAGACCAGGGGTGCTCACAGCATGCGAGCTACTTACAAAATGACC